ACACACACACACACACACACACACACACACACACACACACACACACACACACACACACGCTTGGCTGGCATGCACTAATGGAAAGCTTTGGTCTGGCAGGACTCATCCCGCCACTTTCGACAGTAATTGGCCGTTTGCTGTCAGACGGACAGAACCACACACACACACACACACACACACACACACAGACACACACACACACAGAAGCGTGTTCACACTGGCAGCCTGATTTGTGAGTATCATTTATCTTTCGGGGCTGTCCATGCTCCCGCTCTTTGTTTCCTTCTAGATGTTTCTTTTCTCAGCTGCTTTGCATTCTGATTAAACCTGTGGATAAAACCCGWCTCTGTCTGTCCCACGTCCATCATAGCTGCACCGGACAGCGCACCGCCATGTTTTCTGTATAATTGCAGCATATTTTGAAGTTAGGCTGGACGTGATGGGCTTTGGGGATTTGAGTGGGTTTGGAGTGGTCAAGGATCAAACCCAGACTTCCAATTAGATCTAATCCAGTTACTTCGAAGCCGAGCTGCTCCACAGCCTGATGAATCCTGGGGAAAATGGAGCCGGTGAGCACAAACGGACGACAGAGGTGTAATCAGAGCGGAGCTTCTGGTTTTGTGTGGTTGTTGCAGAGCTGCRTTTACAGGCCCAGTTACATGGTGAACAACGTGTCTTTAAAGCAGCTGAGTCAAACAGCAGCTCCTGGTTTCCATGCTCCCTGTGTCTGCAGTTGTCTTCAGGCATATTGATTTATCTGCTGTGGAGTCATTACAGCTCTGTGCTAAAACAACCAGTTCTGTTACTGAGATACAGTTTCTGCTCAGAGGCCCTGAAACCTGCTCCACACACAGCTGGGTTTAGGGAATATACGAAACACTCAGAGCTCTAAATGCAGCTGTATACAAAATTACTCAACATTTCTAATGTCTGCTATTTCACAAGTCATAAAATTAAACCTTTGCACTTCGAAGGGAGAAAATTTGAACCTTTTAATTTTATTTGGGTGAAAAGGCAMCTTTTTCTGCATATTAAGCCCAGTGTTGTATAAAGTACCTCAAAGTGATACTTGAGTAAAAGTTTCTTACCAAAACATTACTTTGGTAAAAGTTAAAGTCTCCTTTAGGAATATTACTTGAGTAAAAGTCTTAAAGTATCTGATATTTTTTGTACTTAA